GTACTAAAACTATACCATAGAAAGATCGAAGTGAAAGTATCTTGTTGCTTAATTGCATTGCATGCCTCTTTTAAAGATTGAATATTACGATGCGGAACGGTTTAAAAAACAATTTTGTTTTGGCATCTTTCCGATTCATACATTTTTATAATGCTTAATCACGAGCATAGATACGTGGTAGAGCCATGCTGCAGCTATATTAGTAGTATAGTAGCACGAATGGGTCGGCTTGACCGGGGAAGGACCTAGCTCTCATAGAATATCAGCGAAAAATGGCAGCGTCACACTGCTGTGTTTCGTATGGTGAGTGTAGAGAACTGGCGACCCATTTTACTGGAAAAGAGGCATTCCATCTTAGTCCTCACGGGAGGCGACGCATCTGCATTGTGATTATTTATTGAGGATAAACGTAGATGTCTATGGGTCACAGAAACCACTTACCATCTCGTTTCCAGCAAAAAGGTCCTTCGGATCTCTACACTCACCATATGAAACACAGCAGCATTAAGCTGCTATTTTACGTTGCTATTCTGTGAGAGCGTTGTCCTAACCAGGTCGAGCCGACCCGTTCGTGCTAATAATACCATAACATTGTGATAGCACCTGCTATCACATAGTATACGTAGTATAGTAATATACTGCTATATTATGAAGGAAAATATTTAAAATAATAAAGTCAAATGATAGCATGAAATAGGTGAAATATTTTATTACGTTGTAATTTGTAGTAATATTCAAGCGGAAGAGTTGTTTTGTTTGTATAAACACTAATCTCTGAAACTACCAATCCGATTTGAAGAATTACTTTTGTATATTATAGCTAAATTCATGAGAAATAGTATAGGCTATATAGCATTAGGCTTCACTTCTCAACTAGCCTTAAATTTTTCTTAAGCAAGTTAGAAGAAAAAGCGCTTCTGAAATGATTTATCCGCGTGCGCTAGCGTAATGGTTAGTGATACGAAAAGATAATGTTCTACTAAAATATTGATCTTTACTCCATTTAAAAAAAGGTCCGTGTTACCATATTATGTCTATTTCTTATATATAAGCCACAAAACGTAATTTGTGATAAACAATTCATCATCATCATCATTACAGCCCTTCACAAGTCCACTGCTGAACGTAAGCCTCCCCCAAGGAATGCCACAAAGCACGGTCCTGAGCCACCTGCATCCATCGACTTCCTACATATCTTACCAGGTCGTCACTCCATCTAGTGGGGGAACGCCCTACACTTCGCCCGCCGGTACGAGGCCACCACTCGAGAACCTTTTTCCCCCATCGGTTGTCGGTTCTTCGAGCTATATGGCAGGACCATTGCCACTTCAGCTTACTAATCCGTTGGGTTATGCTGGTCACTCTGGTTCTACTGCGGACATCCTCATTTCTAAGTTTATCACGCAGAGAAACCCCGAGCATAACGTTCTCCAGAGCTCGCTGAGCGACCTTGAGCTTCTTCATCCAGCCAGCAGTGAAGGACCACGTTTCAGTTAGCACGCACTGGTTGTACAGTCTCGTTTTCAAGTTTTAAGGTATACCTGACGAGAAGATGTACCGTAATTTCCCGAACGCTGTCCAACCGAGTTGAATCCGTCGATTGACCTCTCGGTCGAAGTTGGACTTACCTAGTTGGACTATTTGTCCCAGGTAAACATACTCGTCAACAACTTCGAGCTTAGTGCTCCCAACAACTACCGGCATAGGTGAGACATGGACATTAAACATGATCTTTGTTTTGGCCATGTTCATCTTAAGACCTATCAGTTGGGAAACACTATTGAGTTGATTGAGCATAGTGCTTAGGTCCTCCAGCGATTCCGCCATAAGGTCTATATCATCGGCAAATCGAAGGTGAGTGATGTACTCGCCATTGATGTTAATACCGTATCCTTTCCAGTCCAGAAGCTTGAAAACGCTCTTGGATCGTTACTCACACTTGCGTGTGGCTCCAACGATGATGTGTACATCTGCCATAGAACCTCTCAATCTCACTCAAAATCTCAGGTGTCCCGGAAATAACGCTGCCATACTCGGTCTTCAGCTTCGACAGTTGGCTCTTTCTGGCAGAGAGATCTCTAGCAAAGACTTTGGAGCCCTGGTTCCGCTCGATCGCTTCTTCAATACGAGCATTATTAACGTTGCGTAAGTCCCGCCGCATGCATTTGGAGATCTGTCTGTATCCCGTCTAACAGCCATGAGATTAAGAGTGTGATCGGAGTGTTTTTGTGTTCTTCCGCAGCGGGTCTTGCAAAATTTAGTTCTGACCGCATGAACAGTTTCCACGAGTATAACCATAAATAAATTAAAAAAAAAATTATTAGGCATTGCAGATTCCTTACGAACGAAAGTTACTTAATCATCAAGACAATTTTATGAAAATAAACTTTGCTCTCAAGTTATTTGGATGCATAAATTATTCGTGAGTCATGCTAAGAAATAACGAAAAATTTAAATAATTCAACACTCGGCTCGGTGCATGCCTGATGAGAACCGAGAGAAACCAGCAGTGAACGCTTCTAGGAGCAAGGTGGAACCGCGGGGCACAGCTAGTACGTTATACAGGTAATTTCTTAGTAATTTAGAAACAATGTCAGCGTTAGTTTAATTATCGGTGCAATTTGTTATAGTTTTGGCTAACTTTTGTTAGATATTTTAACAAAATAATACAAAGACTGCAACGCTTAATCATACAAGTTTATTGTTACCAGCCTCATTTTTATAATTGATAAAACAATGTGGATTAAACGCTTCGCCTTTGTTTCCTTTTACAGAATTTTATACATACATTGGGTCGTTGCAGGTTTAAATTTTTTCTTGAGTAGTTTACTTAAAAATACAGGATTCGATTATTTATACAAGGCATTAGATATATTAACATTTCTGCAACAGACCACGCAGAAAGTATTGCGGAAAGCAGTTTGCTTGGATGAAACACCGACTTGATGTTCCAATTAAAAATTTACGTGCACATCATTTACGAGCTTAATTTTTTTTCTAGACGAGAGAGCAATCGAGCATGTGGCTCACCTTATGGCAAGTGTCGACCGCCGCCCATGAAGAACTGCCACGCCATGGTAATTGCAGGTGGGTTGCCGGCCTTTTAAAAAGGAACATACACAGACCGCCCCAAGCATCCAGATGGCGTAGATGATATTGTGAGTTTTGTTGCGATGTGCAATGGTGGAAATTGGCGTGCTGGAATTATTCCGAGCAATTCCCCGTGATAAATACGATTCAAAATGCAAAGAATGCATCAACTTTTCACAGCGCCATTGAATCGAGTCAATCGGCAAAAACTCGGTCATCGACGATTCGAGCCACTCTTCACTGGATGCGGTCAAGTGGAAGCAGTTGGCACTAGGGTGCTCCGGCCGAAAATATTATAGCGCGATGATTTTTTATGTCTTTTTTAAAATATTGGTCTTGTGTAACGTCCATGTCACACCTATACTGGCGGTTATTGCGAGCACTACGCTCGAAACTGTTGACGAGTATGTTTACTTGGGACAAATCATCCGACTAGGTAAATCCAACTTCGACTCAGAGGTCAATCAACGGATTCAACTCGGCTGGGCAGCGTTCGCGAAATTACGACATATTTTCTCGTCAGGTATACCTCAAAACCCGAAAACCAGATTGTACAACCAGTGCGTGTTGCCAGTGATGATTTATGAATCTGAGACGTGGTCCTTCACTGCTCTCCGTATGAGGAAGGTCAAGGACGCTCAGCGAGCTACGCAGAGGGCTAAGCTCGGGATTTCTCTGCGTGATAGACTTAGAAATCCGCAATAAAACCAGAGTAATCGACATAGCTCAACGGATTAGTAAGCTGAAGTGATAATGGACCTGCCATATGTAGCTCGTAGAACCGACAACCGATGGGGAATTGCCCTTACTGGTAGACGAAGTGTAGGGCGCTGGAGTGACGGCCTGGTAAGATATGTAGGAAACCGATGGATGTAGGTGGCTCAGGACCGTGCTTTGAGGCATTCTTTGAGTGAGACCTATGTTCAGCAGTGGACTTTTGAAGGGCCGTAATGATGATAATGATGATTTAAAATATTGAATTTACAAACGAACATCACCTGATGGTAAATGGCTACTGCAGGTCATGGACGTTTCTATTCATTGCAAGTTTTAATGGTTAGAGGCAATACAATATATATATATATATATATATATATATATATATATATATATATACTTTAATTTAAAAAAAAGGTTGGAAAATCCAAAAGTGTACGACTCATAATGCTCATATGATCATCATATCATCATTCAGGTCACTCCATAAAGTCCAAGACGTATTTAAGTATAAATATACTTAAATATATACACCCTACTTATTTTTAGCACGTAGTACTATTATTTTATTCTGTGCTTTTAAAATATTGTAATAAAAATCTCTGATTATTATAATAATCCAGTATGTATGCAATTTGCTTTTTCGAATATTTTGTATTTGTACAGCGATCTTTTTGAGCCGCTGCAACGACGGTGACGGCGGTTGACGCCGAAGTGAGTGAGGCAGTCTATTTAATAAATTAAATTATTACAAGGCTGATAAAACACTGAAAAGTTCCAGATTTCTACGCCGAAAAAAAATTATAACTAAACAAAAGAAAATTAAACTGCCATTTACATTCCATGGCTTCCCCATGATAGATGAAGAGATTAAAAAATTGATTGAGTTAAACAATTGATATTTTCAAAAGTAACGTTTACCACTCCATGCGGTCTCAAGACCTAAATCTATACCATAAGCCACTAAAACCACTTTTTTATGTAAAAATAGCAATTAATCGATTTAAAAAAAAATTACTAAGTTCAACAATCATTCATCTTTCTGACAATGTGCTTTTTATATCATTTATATGTTCAATATGATTGTTAGATATGATTTTATGCGACAAAATGTTGGAATATTGATTTTTAGGCGCTAGTAGAACATACCTACGCGCTTTGCGCTTAAGGCATGCAATAAAATGACCACTTACCATACGGTTTGTGCTGTCTCCAACGTTCTTTTCCGTTTCATCGCTTGTCACATCTTGGTTTGCGAACATTTTACGATGGACTTTCTTGAATTCATCTATTAATGCATCGTGTTGCTTTTTCTTATCATTTTCTAACGGTTTTGGAACAGTCGGCTTTTTTACTGGATTTGGCATTTTATTGTTGTCCGGTGGGGTTTTCTTATTCTGTATTGAAAATAACGAATTATTACATTCTAAGAAAGATGAAAATAAAATCATCAAAAAAGTAAAGTTACAGCCTTAATACATCCACAGACCTCATCCAATTTCTAGGAGGGTTATGAAGTAATTAGTCCACCACGCTGCTCCAGTGCATTTTGGTGGACTGCAAAACTTCTAATGTCTTCATTTTTTTATTTCTTAGACATGCAAGTTTCTTCACAATGTTTTCGTTCACCACCGAGCATGTGATAAATCAGCAAATGAAATTGTAATTTACAATTTCATTAGTGCACTCGCGGATCAAAATCGAGTCGCTAGCGTATATAGAACTAGTGGTAAAATTAAAAAAAAATGTACAACCGACTTTAATATAAATTAAATGAGAACATCATCAATGTAGTCGAAGTCAATTAAATTAAATACGCATTACTAAGGATAACTCAAAACTACTAACCAGATCTTGATCAAATTTATATAAAAAAGAGCCATCAAAATCGGTTCAACTAGAAAAAAGTTCTGAGGTAATACACAAAAATAAATAAAAAATACAGTCATATTGAGAACCTCCACCTTTTTTTGAAGTCGGTTGAAAAATAACAACGATTTAGTAGCGTAAATAACGATATTTAATTTTTATTTTATAGAATATGGTTGGCAAACGAACACATTCCACCTGATAGTAAGTTGGTAAGTGAGTGTTGTGTCCCATAGACTACTCAATACTCAATATTTATTTGCATTCTATAATGTACAAATTAATAAATTAAATTATCACAATATGGACCCTGTTGGGTATAGCAAATTAGAAAATTAGAACAGATGAGGACGCATAGATGTTTTATAATTCATTATTATTATTATATCATACATTATTATTATATCATTTATTAGTCCATAATTATTCATATTAATCATTCATTTATTTATAGTATTGCATTTGTCATTCAGGTATTCATATAAAGTATAATAACATTTATTGATTAGAAACACTTTTAATTGTCTTATAAAAATATTATCATTTGTTTCGTTTTTTAATGAGTTTGGTAGTTTATTATAGACAGTTATGGACATTGCGTAAGGGCCTGATGACTGATGACTACAGCTGCTTTTGAATGATAACACCTATCGATTGAGCATTGCCATTGTTACTGTGCTCAAAGCTGTCGATTGACGCAATGCAGATTTTTGCACATTAGTGCCCGATTATGGTCATTAATATGGCACCAATGTGCAAAAATCTGCGTTTACACAGACAAAAAACTAGTACAAATATGAGATATGTACAGTGCTCGATTTTACGCATATATGATGAAATTGGTGCTAGGTCAAAATTCAATTTCACAGAAACAGATGGGAACAATCATTATACAACTATGAATGGAAATCAAAAAATTGTGTTTTTCTGCAGACGTCAAAAAGGAGACGGTACTAAATTCTACTGTATGTTTTTTATGTATGTTACCTCATAACTTTTTACCGGGTGAACCGATTTCGATGATTCTTTTTTATTTTGAAAGCTGGTACTTCACATGTGGTCCCATATGAATTCGATCAAGGTCAGACCAATAGTTTTTGAGTTATTCTTAATAATTTATATTGAAGTCTGTACAAAATTTTTAATTTTTAATTATGTGGCAACCAATAAGTATGGAGTCCAACTGGGAACGGATTTTCGTAGGCAGTGTACCTAGCAACTACATTATGGTTCCTAGGTTTAGACATTGGCAGCGATAAGAGCCTCTGAAACTACCTTAATGTACCTTTTTACAAGAAATGTTATATAATTTACTTATTAAACTTAAAGTTATATTTTACAAATAATTTTCGATTGATGGTAAAATCTTAAAAATAGACTTATAATAGGTTTCCTAAATTTGTTATACGGTTTAGGGGTTTTCAATAAGTATTTTGTAATCCCACCAAAAACATATATGTAAAAAGGGGGCCAAATTCGATACACACTACGCTCGGGCTTGTCGAGGCGTTAAGCTTCATATTGCTCCATATAAGTTAAGTATTTAAATCATAACTATAGGTGTGTACAACGTACTTAAATTATTTTAAAAGAAAATTTGTTTCGTTATTTGAATTTGAAATTAGACAAGTTTATTCAAGGGGGCCAAAATTACGACTGTATTGGTCTAATAGATTATGAGTAATGCGGGGCTTCAGATTTGCTCGAAATGGTTCGTGTAGATGTACACATGACCGCCGTGTGTCCTATATATTATTATATTATTAATATACTAGCTGTTCCCCGCGACTTCGTTCGCGTGTTACGGTTTTTATGTTTTTGTGCGGAACCCTAATTATTTTTCTAAACTAAAAGTAAACGCCTAAGTTACTCCTTATGAAATCAGCTATATGCCAGTGAAAGTCCCGTCAAAATCGGTCCAGCCGTTTCGGAGATTACCCGGAACAAACAGACAGACAGACAGATAAAAATTTTAAAAATTGTATTTTAGTTATAAAGTACCGTATTTACTTTCATATGTATTTAGTAAAAAAACTGTAATTTTTACATTACAAACAGACACTTCAATTTTATTTATTTGTATAGATTTGTCTGTTTGTAATCGTATTTTCGAAAACGGCTTAAAAGATTTCGATAAAATTTACAACATAGGGTGGTGAAAAATTTATCTAGCTCGGTTTCATTTTTGGGAAAAATTGTTTGCTTCGTGTCTTACTCACAAAGCATTAAACTCGACTGGAATACTATAATTGGTAATTTTAATATCCTTTTGTCTGCGTAGGTCTACTAAACCTGAGTACGAAAAATCGAATGCTGCAACGTAGTCAGATTTTATTGGTTTTATTTTTGTTATGCAGTATTTTAGTCCACTTGGCCACATAGATGGACAAAAATAAATTATTATAGACTAATGAAATGTTTTGTTTGCGGAGATACGTACATTTTAATGACGCTGTGCGTATCTAAGTATTTTAAACCGGGAGGTTAAAGCTTTGATCACGAAATCTTTAATAAAAAAAAATCATTGTTTTATCGATATATAATCAAACCTGTTTAATCAAACCTATTTAATATTTAATAGGTATTTACGAAACGGCACTAACGATTTTGTTGAAATTATATTCATGGGTACTGTAATATTTGTGATAATAGTCTGTATATTTTAACACACTTAGCTTAATTTTAACATTTAAAACCAAGCATGAAATAATTTTATCTTTAGTTCTAAGAAGCTTCAACATTTTCACAAATACATTAGAGTGCGTTAAAATGGGCATTAATTAACAGACCTTGTAAGTATGCCAGTAAAAATATCATTAAGTCCAACAGTCCATATAATCGAATAAATAATTAAATAAAAGAAAGCAAAATTATATGTTCTGTTAATGTGATAAGACAGAAGTGAACTGCCAACAAGAGAAATTCAAGTTTATTGAGTTATTGTATAACTAGAAGTGTGAAGTCACCATTTTCCGTCTTTGTATTTCCTCGGCGATAGCGCTGGATAACGTCGCAGAACTAGATATACTTGTTGTGTCAGAATTTACATCATTCTTCACAGGTGGTGGGAAGTTGCAACGCGTATTGGCACAAGAAGCAGCCGTCATGTGATGCACTTCTACTACAAAAGTCTTCTTATCGTTATCTCTGTTCGTCTCATTCGCTGAAACACTTTTTCTAGGAGTCTGATTATCATAGCTACACTGTATGGTGGCGCCATCTTCTGTCAGGTTTATAATAGTTCTATTTAATGGACTCGTAACCCTTGCAGGTTCAAATTCTAGTTTATTTTTCATGTGAGTCTTATTTTCGTACGTATGTGGGTTGTTTGGAATACTAGGGCTGTCATAATCGGGCTCTATATCAGAGGGTGCATCGAAATTGTGTGTGTCGTCTTTCTTCCATTTAAAATCTAGACTGTCCCATGTTCTTCTCTTCATTCTGTTCAGGGTCAATCTGCAAATATATAAATATACTTTATCCTTATCTTTACACCTTACTCATAAATAAATCAAAATTATATTTAGTAAATTTTTCAGATATTTCTTAAACGTAAAAACTTATCTAATTTTAAATTCTGACCAAACAGATTAAAATAAATGATTTCATTTTATCATATATTATTATCATAAATATATTTTAGACTGAACTATATTTTCACGAGGAAATTGTATTTTATATTCATTATTTCACGTTTTATGATTGTTCAGATTTCAAAATCATTATAATTTTCAATCAGCAACGATTAGATAAAGCAATCATGTCACTTCATTTAAACGCAACGTATGGCTTTTATTCTCTTTGCTTAGAGCAGAGAACGATTATCAAAGCACAAGAAAACAAAAAATAGAGTGCAGTGCATGAACATTTTTATTAACTATGTTATTTATTCTGCACATAACATCATTGTGATTAACCATTTCAAATGTTACAGTGGGCAAATTTGGGTTGCAATTGCAAGCGTACTGTTACGCGCCACTATTAATGTCTTGTACATGGCAACACTAGTTACACTAGCGCCCCCTAGTGTCGAGTAAATGAAAGTATTGCGCGCCACTATTAATGTCTTGTACATGGCAACACTAGTCACACTAGCGCCCTCTAGTGTCGAGTAGCAGAACTAGGAGAGTCGAGATCCTTCCAGAAATTTCGGGACCGATATGTACTCGAACATTCTAGATGTCGCTACAGTAGAAGGTTCTGGAAACTATCTGAGGCCCTATATAAGACCGGTATAGACCACGACCGGGGCAGTATTGAATTGGCGATACAAGAGAATACTTCGAAGCGAAATAACGGCGAACTGTGTTTTATTATTAGTGTGATTTTTGATTGTAATTAGTGTTGTGTAATTAAAGTGTCAATTTTGGTAATTCAGTCGGCAGTTTTTAATTGTCTCGAACCTCAAGCTCGTAACAATTGGTGTCAGAAGTGGGATCAAATATGCCGATTTTACCTAAAGACGACACGGAGGGTATCCGTACCCGAAGTCAACGCCAACAGGAGACGGACCAGAGACGATTTGGTAATGCAACGCCGCAAACGTCGGAGGGCCAGTTGCTAACCACGGAGGCTGGCCCGTCAGCTGCTCCTGCATCTGCAGCACCTGACTTAGGTGCTCTGATGATGATGCTGCAGGATCAGGCTCGCCGACAGGAGGAACAGGCCCGCCGACAGGAGGAACAGGCCCGCCGACAGGAGGAACAGACCCGTCGGCTAGAAGAGCAGCTGCAGCGCGGTATGGAAGAACAGATGCTCCTCAGGAAGGACCTTCACGCTACCTTCGGGAAAGAGATAAAGGAGGTGAAGGATAGGGTTGCTCAACATGACAACCGCCTGTCGGAAGCTGAAACCCGAATCGACCAAGTGAACAATCGGGTTGACAACGTGATGGCTGATGTGAAGAAAACGCTGGACGACCTCAAACTTGGGGATGGAGTTACAGCTCCCGTGGTAGCTACAACACCTTCGCTACGTGGATTCAAAGTGCCACCGTTCGACGGGACTTCTTCCTGGTCGGCCTATAAAATCCAGTTCGAGGCTGTCATGAAAGCGAACGGCTGGAATAAAAGTCAGGCCATGACTGCTCTCACCCTAGGCCTGCGCGACCAGGCATTAACTGTTCTGGAAGCTCTCGGTAAGGAAGTAACTTACGAGCAGCTCCTTGAGGCATTGGAGGCGAGATATGGCGACGCTCACCTGGAACACGTCTTTCGTGCGCAGCTCAAAGATCGCGTGCAACGCAGTAACGAAAACCTGCAGCAGTGGGCCCTTGAGGTGGAGAAGCTGGTTCGAAAAGCGTACCAGTCTGTACCTGCGCTTATTGTAGGGAACCTGGTGCAGACATTCATCGACGGCATCCGCGACCTTGAAGTCAGAGCTGCTGTGAGGCTCGGGCACCACGAGACGCTTAAGGACTCCTTGACCCATGCACTGGAGGTGGAAGCTGTGAGACAGGATCATCGTTCCTACCGCGTCAGGGAGGTTGCAGCAGTTACAGTTCGGGACCGCAATAACGGCTACCGCCCTAGGTGCTACGGCTGTGGGCAAAGGGGCCATCTTCGATCCAGCTGCCCTAAGCAAACGGTAGAAAGGGAAGGTGATCGATTTCGAAAAGGTAGTGCGGCTAACAGCACCGCCCAGCGCAAATCTCATGGCAACGCAGATGTATTGTCAAGAAGACTATGCCCTAAAGATTACAAGCATTGTACTAGGCAAGAGGGTAAAGAAGTGGTATCTGCGAGGATATTCAGAACAGACCAGCTCAGCAATGAATGGAAGGACAGCCTACAACATGCACAGCAGGAAGATTCGGACATTAAGCCGATTCTGGAATGGATGAAGGCCAGTGCTCCTAAGCCCAAGTGGAGCGACGTCTCAGCAATGAGTTCGACCACGAAAAGCTATTGGGCCCAATGGGACAGCTTGCTGATTCAGGATGGAGTCCTGTGCCGTAAATGGGAAAATAGTCGGGGAGACAGGTGTCATTTGCAAATGGTTGTCCCTAAGGCTAAAGTGCCGAATATTCTACGGCTGTACCATAGTGGTTGTTCAGGAGGCCACCTGGGAGTTAAACGAACTCTCCTGAAGATCCGAGAACGGTTTTACTGGGTCCACTGTCGTGACGATGTCGAGGACTGGTGCCGCAAATGTACAAGTTGTGCGGCTGTAAAGGGACCTCAAATTCGTAGTAGAGGCGCATTGAAATTGTACAATGTTGGTGCACCATGGGAGAGGATAGCCATTGACGTTGCGGGGCCGTTTCCAGAAACTGAAAGTGGTAACAAGTATTTCATGGTAGTGATGGATTACTTCACTAAGTGGCCAGAAGTCTTCGCCATTCCAAATCAAGAAGCTTCAACAGTTGCAGATAAACTAGTTCATGAAGTCTTCTGTCGTTTTGGAGTACCTTTAGAGATTCACAGCGATCAAGGAAGGAATTTTGAGTCTCAAATATTCCAGGAAACTTGCCGAGTTATGGGTACTCAGAAAACACGAACAACTTCTTACCACCCACAATCTGATGGAATGGTAGAAAGATTTAATCAGACATTGGAGAGGTACCTAGCAAAAGTTGTGGAAAAACGGCAACGGGACTGGGACAGGCACATACAACCGTTTTTGTTGTCATATCGTAGCGCTGTTCACGAAAGTACATCAGTGACACCAGCTTTCGCAAACTTTGGGAGAGAATTGCGGCTGCCTGCAGACCTGATCACCGGAATACCACCTGATGCCCCACGCAGTATAACCGATTATGCAAATGACTTGCGGAACAAAATGAATGACATTTATGAGCACGTCAGACAGACGGGCCAGCAAACGTCTGAGAAGATGAAAACACGGTATGACCGCAAAATGAACAACAAGGGCTTTGATGAAGGTTCACTAGTGTGGTTACACAATCCAGTTCGCAGCAAAGGGAAATCTCCTAAGCTTCAAGCTAAATGGGACGGACCGTACCGGATTGTGACAAGGATCAATGATGTAACCTACCGGATACAGAGAGGTGCCAGAGGTACTCCTAAGATTGTCCATGTGGATCGACTGGCGCGTTATTATGGGGCCAATAATGCTCGGGACGAGCATGTCTTAGGAGGGGGCAGTGTTACGCGCCACTATTAATGTCTTGTACATGGCAACACTAGTTACACTAGCGCCCCCTAGTGTCGAGTAAATGAAAGTATTGCGCGCCACTATTAATGTCTTGTACATGGCAACACTAGTCACACTAGCGCCCTCTAGTGTCGAGTAGCAGAACTAGGAGAGTCGAGATCCTTCCAGAAATTTCGGGACCGATATGTACTCGAACATTCTAGATGTCGCTACAGTAGAAGGTTCTGGAAACTATCTGAGGCCCTATATAAGACCGGTATAGACCACGACCGGGGCAGTATTGAATTGGCGATACAAGAGAATACTTCGAAGCGAAATAACGGCGAACTGTGTTTTATTATTAGTGTGATTTTTGATTGTAATTAGTGTTGTGTAATTAAAGTGTCAATTTTGGTAATTCAGTCGGCAGTTTTTAATTGTCTCGAACCTCAAGCTCGTAACAGTACTATGAGCTTGTTAAGAAGCTCAGGGATCCTGCCACGGTTCGACCTGATTGGCTTAGTAGTGCCTGATTAAAAGGCGAAATGCATGTCGAGTTTTAGATACTGCTTTTCTGGTGTTGATAATTTATAGTTAAGGTTGTGGCTTGTGGTCGTATTTGTGTGGTGATAAGCAGAACACGCAGTTTTGTGGGAGGGACGTTGCAACTACTTCTCTTCAAATTAGGTAATTCAAAAAAGCTAATCTTTTGCCTATGGATTAATAGTAAATTAAATCACTTAACTTTAATCATAAACATTTTCGTAAAGTAATGATAGATTCTAATCAAACTTCTATTCGAAAATATTACCCGCTCTGCATAGGAAAGAGAAATACGTTATAAAACTGATCGGATAAGAAGATTTAACTATTTTATTATTTGCTATCGAGAATGCTTACTAAAAGCAGCTTGGACAAAAATATCGTATTTTAGACACGATTTTGATGCTCGGGTAACGGGTACTTCTTGAAATAAATTCAATAAAATTCTGAATCGAATAGGTTTTTAAAATACTGTATGTGAATCGAGATATTTTTTTACTTAATCGCCGGGTAAAATCTTTGACATCCGAGTCCCTATTTTAAGCCAAAAAGTATTTAATATTTTCCATATTAGGAAAGGCTTATTATTGAATTAAATTCATAATTGGCTACATTTTTATTTAGATTCTTTATTTCCTATTAATAAACAAAAAAGTTTAAAGTAAACTTTTGTCCACCGCATTTTACACGATTACTTCGTGCTGGACAAATATCAACCTTATACGGCCTTTAAAGAAGATGTTAAAATTTATCCATAAAGAATTTATACCGTGTAAGTTAAGCAAATAATTGGCACATATAACACAATTCGCATTGTTTTAATACACTTATTTCAGAGTTATGTAAACTACTAACCCGATGTGCCCTTTTGCCAAGTGTTACCTGTCAGCTCTATCAGCCGCCTCCTCAGCGACGCTTGCTAGTCTTCGTCGTAATGCTGCTGGGGGAGCCAGCGGAACGACGGGAGTAATTGGTGCTGGACTGCGCTCGCCTGCTGCTGAGGACGCCGAACTGTTGTATCCCGAACTCTCCGGTGACACTAACTCAGTCCCAGCGCCTTCCCGAATAACCAGCTCGAGGCGCCCAATCACTTTCATTGCTGATATGGCCTAAAGAAAATATTTTAAAGGTCTATCATTTGTAGCTATTTAGAAAGTAAAAAGTTGTGTTGTACACATTAAATAGATAACAAAGGAGGGAGAGATTAGAGAAGTATTGCTAAATTTTTAACGATTTGTCATATAGCTGATGTGAAGCACTGTGAAGCACACTCTTCAGTGTAAACAGCTGTTCAGCAGTATCCGTTGTTGGCATAAAGTACTGCCGCAGCTATGCAAAGACATCTGACTTTCATGCAGCTGTTTTAATGTAAAGAGACACGCTTGTGTTTGAAGGCGTTAAATTTCGTAAGATTGCCTTAACCCCATTCGGAGACTGTCAGCGTTAAGATAATTTTTGTTTGGGACTGGAGTTGATCCCAACTGGTTTATGCACTCGGCTGGTATAACTCCACATCTTTGCTATCATCCGCGTACCCATAAATGCCAGACATAGGCAGATCATTGATATGCAGCAAGAAGAGAGTTGCGTAGATGACGGCACTGAGACAATCCGGCATTAGTCGTCATGGGCTTGAAAAAGAAACCTCTAATAACGACTCGGAGAGACCGTTCACTCAAAAGTCCTACAAGCAGCCAATCAGACAAGGGGAAAAGCAGCGCGTTACTTCGGTACCTTTGGTACCTTACGCACGCACATAATTACACAATTTTGTATAGCAAAAGTCCTCGGCCGGCACAGGGGTTTACACACACATGCGTTCAGAAATAAGATGTGTGCCATTTTTTTTATTGATTGGGCTAAAAATTAAAACTGATTACATTAATATGTTGCTTGTAGAATAATCTGACAAAAAATCTAAATGATTGCATGTATATTAATATGGTATTTAATCGGTAAAAGTAATTTTTAAAGGTAGTGTTGCGCGCCACTATTAATGTCTTGTACATGGCATCACTTGTTACCACTAGCACCCTCTAGTATCGAGTGGCAGAACTAGGAGAGTCAAGATCCTTCTAGAAATATCGGGACCAATATGTACCCGAACATTCTAAATGTTTCTATAGTAGAAGGTTCTGGAAACTAACTGAGGTGCTATATAAGGCCGTTATAAACCGCGACCGAGTCAGTATTGAATTGGCGATATAAGCGAATACTTCGAAGCGATACAACTGCGAACTAAAGTGAACTGTAGTACAATTGTGTTTTGTTATTAGTGTGTGTATAAGTTGTAATTAGTGTTGTGCAATTAAATTGTGAATTTTGGTAATTCAATCGGCAGTTTCTAATTGTCCCGAACCCCAAGCTCGTAACAATATCTTTGTGATTTTTTTTCTATCGTATTAAATTAGTAGTATCATGTTTTTGATACACTATCTAACGAGCATATATCCTGAAAAATATCATATATTTTAGTGATTTTGTTTACTGCAATGGATCATATACTAAAAGATATATTATGGATAAGATATTAAGGATTTAAAAAGCCTTCGTTTCTTATTTTTGTATAAATACTGCGATCGTAATATAGTACAAAGAAATATATAGCTACTGTGACTTTCACTCAATTAAATCAAATAAGTCTATTTTTGGGAAATTATTGTTTAATATAATTTAATCTATTCTTATATGTATCACGGCGGATCCCTGTGTTATGTTCGCATGTGGCAACACACACTTGCTAAGTTTTCACGTTCTCACATTGTTTAACATCTTTAAATACAAAAGGAATTATTATGCTTTATTATTAATTTAGCTTACTTTGAGCTTATTTCAATTGATTGTAAAAAGCCGTAAAATTATTCAGCGCTCGATTTAGAGTTCTGACAGTCTTAAGCTAACTATAAATATGCACTCCCCCCACTATCTTCGATCTAGGCTAGGCTCTAGCCTGATTAGCCTATGGGTAAATCAGGCCCTGAAAATAATTACCTCATTGAAGTAAATGTTTGACCGTTGCACAATAAAATCTGGTCGTAACCAGCCATATAGTTATTTCAATATATATAGCACGCTTAGTAGCTTTAGAATTTGATTCATACTTGATTAAGTGATAATGTTAAATATTAAACTATTACCTCATTGAAGGAAACGTTTGTGAAATCTTGACCGTTGCATGATAAAATCTGGTCACCGGGTCGTAAACCAGCCTCTTTTGCTATACCACCATCTCTCACGAATTGTACGAAAATCCCAGGCTTCCAGTCTGGTCCTTTGCAAATTCTGAAATAGAATCGGAAATAAAAATTTAAAACATTCAACTCTTTCTAGGTACCTTTATATGTATTTGTCGATGCTGAGGAAATGATACAATAATATCGTCCTATACAGTACAATATTGTTTGTTTACATTCACAAGTTCATAAGTTCGCCGTGTAGTGGCGGAGTTAGAGAATCGGTTACCCTATATCATATATTATGTCTATAATTGTATATCTTCATGAGTTTACATACATCTGACGTTTTAATATGTACTTAAGTAATATACATTTTTATTATCTTATTATTTTTATCATAATTTATTTTATAAGTATATATATATATATTATATATATATATATATATATATATATATATATATATATATATATATATATATATATATATATATATTATATTATATTTTTTATTAACATTTATATCTTATGTATTTTATTTCGATGTGCTACAATTTTTTTTGTTATTTTAGTTTAGTATTAACATATTACCTTTTTATTACTCCTACTTCATTATATCTCTGCATCATCCCAAGGTAGACTGGTAGAGAATGCCTTAGGCATTAAGTCCGCCTATATACCACATGTGTATATGAAGTTTTAAATAAATAAATAAATAAATAAATATCATCCCGTGGGTGTCGTAAGAGGCAACAGAAGGAAATGAAACAGGCAATGAGCAGCAGTATCTTCTTGATAATAACTGTAATGGATAGTGAATGAAAAATTCACAAATTTGCACAAGATAAGATATTATCATAGATGTTCAAAATGGTATTTAGCAGGACTGAAGAGACGTTCATTCGTCAAAAGTATTGGAATTTTCCAAATGAGACGGCATTTGATCCATTTTATAAAGAGCGATAGTTATTTTTAACAAATTTCCAATAAATAATAGTTAAAAAAAAACACGCTTTTGTAGATAACCGAACTAAAAAGTAGAAAATAATTTTCAATAAGTTTAAAATAAAAAGATAGTGTTTAACATAAAAAAAATCATTTTATATGGTGTTAGTGTTTTTAAGTTCTTTAGTAAGGCTAACTAATAAGCGTGTTTTTTTTAAACCAAGTTCTTTTACGCAGCTTACAGTTGATTGAAATGGCAGAAATCGTAGTTATTTTATGAATTATTCGCAAATCTTGAGGATCCTGGCAAGAATAATGGGACAAACTATTCAAATCATTGCATTGTCATCGATCCTCGATGAGTGTGCGAAGTTTCAAATCAATCCGACGTTTTGAAGGGGATGAAAATCACATTAAAAAATTCCGTAGATACATACCAAGCTAATAAAAGCGTGTTAAAAAAGGTTTTTGATTCCTTTTTTTGTAAAACTAAAGTGAGAAACGAACTTACAGTTCACTTGATGGACAAATGCGACAAACTCTAAACAAAGTATTAATAATAAAAAATAAGTCAAGAAATGTATGCTTGAAACAAAAAGGAGCGGGTACCATTCGGACAAACAGCCGAATGCTAACAAACGTTAATGTACGCACAAAAACTGAGAAAGAAAAGAACATAAATAAGATACACTCTGACCAAAATGCTCTATCACGCTTCCACAATATTCTGGCCGGCCAATTTATTTTAAAAATATTGACTTTTAAAATTGTTAATCTAATGAAAGGTGAATCCAAGCACAGAATAAATCTCTTCATCATCAAGTGAATGTTGGGCTATTAAGTTACCTAGAGGCAATAAGAAAATGTTAATGAACACATTTTGGTATAGTAAGTTATATTCGTTTAGGTAGAAATAAAATAACTTATTAGCCATATGAGCTAGATTTTAGTGCCGACTATTTTATTGTACCATAGTAACAAAAGGAACGTACCCGCAGCCAAGTTTAGCTCTCGGTGGGACCAATATTGAGAGGCGCATTTCGGTGAGGTGGTCCGTGTTATGGCACAGTGTCGGCGACGAGGACACGTCGGATGAAAGCGACGTGCGCTCCGACACGAACTGCCAAGACAGAGGCTCGTACTCCTTTCTGCAAGAAACTTTCCTTAGAGCGTTTTTAAACAAAATAATAATTCTTCTCAATCTTACTAGATGAACTTCAACTACCGAGGCTACCGCAATCATAAGAAAACCCATTACAATCAAGTGATGCTCCTCAAGTTCCTCCTTTTTTTATAAGATAAGGGTGACAACCAAGCACACAGTCCACCTGATGGTAAGTGATTGCTGTGGCCCATAGTGTATATAGTATAAAGTCATATATCTATACTCGTTTACGAACTAACAAACAAACGAGGCATTCCATCTTAGTCCTCACGGGTGACAACGCATCTGCATTTTGATTCGTATTTAGAATAGAATAGAATAGAATATTTTTTATTCAATATACATTACATGTGTAATTCTTATTGAAAGTCATTTTTTACTTTACCACTGGTTCGAAAAAACCCTCTGTCCTGGGAAGAACCAGCAAGAAACCCAGCGGGACTTTTTTTTTTAAATAAATTTTACAATATAAATTATTACGAACTATTTACAAAATTTATTTTAGAAACTGCTTGGAAGCGATCACCTCATTCCCAAGGGTTATTATCAACCATGTATTCATTTATACTATAATAAGCCTTTTTATACAGTTTCAGCTTAATAAAACATTTAAACTTGGTAATAGAGAGAACCTGTACACTTTCCGGGACCTTGTTGTAATAGCGTATACATTGCCCCAAGAATGAATTACTGACTCTGTGGAGTCGAGAAACTGGTATCACTAGCTTGTGTTTGTTCCTAGTGTTTACAGAATGTATATCACTTCTTTTACTAAAACTATCTTTGTTTTTGTGAACATACATTAAATTTTCGTAAATATACTGAGAGGCCAAAGTTAATATATTAATTTCTTTAAATTTATCTCTAAGAGACTCTCTCGGTTTTAGATTGTAAATAGCTCTAATGGCCCTCTTCTGTAAAACAAAAATAGTTTCTGAATCAGCCGCATTTCCCCATAGCAAAATCCCATAAGACATTATGCTATGAAAATAACTAAAATAAACTAATCTAGCTGTCTCGACACTAGTGAGAACTCTAATCTTTTTTACAGCATAGGCTGCAGAACTTAGTCTGCTTGCTAATTTGGATATATGGGGGCCCCACTGGAGCTTTGCGTCAAGAGTGATGCCAAGAAAAACAGTGGATACAACAGGGCTCAATTCCTCCCCATTTAAAAACACATTGGTATTCAGATTTTGAACATTCGTTGTTGTAAATTTAACACAATTAGTTTTATTTCCGTTCAAATGCAGATTATTAACGTTAAACCAATGCACTAATTTTGATATAGCATTATTCACTTCGTCACATTTAAATGATTGACGTTTAAGTTTAAAAATCAAGGAAGTATCATCAGCAAATAATACTATATCATGACTATCCCCTACAAGGTGAGGTAAGTCATTAATATACACCAGAAACAGGAATGGGCCGAGAATCGAGCCCTGAGGTACACCCATTAGTACAGGTGACCCGGAAGAACTTTTACCATTGATAATAACCTTCTGTTTTCTATTACTTAAATATGAAATAATAAGTTTAAGCGCTGTGTTCTTGACACCATAGTACTGTAGCTTCCTGATTAATGTCTCATGGTGAACACAGTCGAAGGCCTTGGAAAGGTCACAAAATATACCCAAAGCATCCTCTGATTTCTCCCATGCACAAAAAATATGTTTAATAAGCTCAACTCCAGCGTCAGTTGTCGAGCGACCCCTTGTAAAACCGAATTGATTATTATGTAGCAATTTATTAATATTAAAGAAACTTAACATCTGATCTAAAATAATTTTTTCAAAAATTTTACTTAATGTTGGTAGTACAGAAATTGGTCTAAAATTGGCGGGGTCTAATGTACTACCAGATTTAAATATAGGTATGACTTTACTATGTTTCATTAAATCAGGAAACACACCAGATTCGACGCTTATATTAAATATAGTGGCTAGATAAGGTGCTAATGTATCTATTATAGATAAAATAACTTTAACGGAAATCCCCCATAAGTCTGCCGTTTTCTTAACATCAATAGTTTTAAAATATTTAACGATATCTTTTGGCAGTACCCTATGGAATTTAAAAGTATTTGAACAAGCCTTTACATTTTGTTTGAGCAATGATTCGGCGACAGTAGGAGAAGAATTTAATGATTTTGTTGTCAAAAAAGGAACATCAGTAAAATGTTTCTCAAAAGCCATAGCAACTTCTTGATCAGATCGCGTTAAATTATTGTTAATATTCAATTGAAAATCCGAGTTGCGCGGTTTGACCTTGCCCGTTTCACTATTTATTATTCTCCAGGTCATTTTAATTTTGTCGGATGCAGTTTTAATTTTGTTGCTTAAATGTAAAGCCTTAGCAGTGGAGCACACTTTTTTAAATATTTTAGAATATGTTTTTACATAATCTCTAAATATAACACTACTATTATATGATCTTTCATCATAAAGCTCGTATAACCTTCGCCTACTTTTATGAATTCCTACTGTCGCCCATTCATTAAATGATTTGCGACTGTTAAAAGAGAAAGTTTTAGAAGTAAATATTCTACTAAATTCACAACATATAATTTCAAATAATGTAGCATACAAATAATTAGCACTATTTTTAAACGAAAGTGATGGAAGTCTTTTTATTATATTACTTCTAAACCTCTCCAAGCGATGTTCATTTATTGGAACAAACACAACTTTCTTATTTTTCTGTTTTTTGTGTATGTAAGGTAGTGATACTAACTGTCCACAGTGATCTGAACTTAAATTTTGAATAATTGATTTATGCAAGGGCTTAACATCTGTAAAAATGTTATCTATACAGGTCGCACTAGGCCCAGCAATACGTGTTGGTTCTAAGAATAAATTTACAAGATTATACGATTTAAACAATGAGCTAAACTTAATACTAATGGAAGAAGTTTCAAGGAGATTGATATTAAAGTCTCCACACATTACAACAGACTTGTTCTGTTTACTAAGTTTGAGTAAAACTTCTTCCACAATCCTTTCAAAATGGTCATAAGTAGCACATGGGGGTCTGTAAACACTTACAACAATGAGGTGCTCGAGCTCGACACAAGCCATTTCTACAGTTCGTTCAACAGAGAGGCTCACAATATCCTTACGTTCTTTATATAATAATGATTTATCTGCTAATATTAAGGAGCCACCACGTAAACTTTTTTCTCTATTGAAGGAACTGACCACCTGGTGATTTCTGAAATTAAATATGAAATTATAATCTTTTAGCCAATGTTCAGTAATACAAAGGATGTGTATATTGTTACTATTTAAAAACAATTCAACTTCCAATTCTTTGCCCAACATGCCTTGTATATTTTGATGCACCAGGTGTAAACAATTTTTATTACTTATTTGTGGGCTGTATTCAAAATTAATTAAACTCTTATTATTGCTAGAGATTGCCTCTATTGTCACATTCACTAATTTAAATTAGTTGGAACTGATTCCAAATTAAATGTCAAATGATTATGCTCAATAAAAGCAGTCTTGGTAGCCAAAAACTTGGCTGAGTTAAAAAGTAAATAATAAGATAGCACATTTGCTATCAGTCTTAAATTATATTTGGATAGGTAATACCTATCTTTTGTCCAAAACTTTTTTATTAAATTATTTATGTCAATTACATGAAATTTATGATTATTATCATTAGAATTATATGTCAAATTTAAATTATTATTACATATTAAATTATGCATTTGTATATTTAAATTATGTCTTAAATTATTTTCTTGTGGCAATCCCTGTATATAAGGCAGTGTGAACAAGACAATTTTGTGTACATTTAAGTTATTAAGTTGTTCAATATATCTTAATAACTGTTTGTTGTTGACACTGCCTCTTCTACCAACAAAAATTATTATTGTACTATTTGGGCAAAATTTAGTAACAATAATTTTATTTAGGATGTCACTAAAAGATGCTCCAGGCATGCAGCAATTTGTAACTTTTTGTCCCTTTAAAGAGTTATTTAAAGTTATGCCTAGATTTTTTCCCATGTCATCGCTATAAACAATTATATTATTTTTAGTAATATTTGAGTTATTTATTATTTTAATATCCTCTGTTATGGCACTGTCATAGAGTTTTTGTGGTGGTATAATATTATCAGCACACACTGACTTTGAAGAATCTGGCATTGAGCGCTGACACTCACATTGATATTTAACTAAGGAGTCAAACCGCTCCTCATTATATTTACAAGTCTTTACCAGATTATCCATAGCCAATATGTGTTCTTTTATTTCATTTTGGGCTGATTTATATTTATTGGACACAGTTTGAAGGGAGTTCATAAGTGACAATATTTCTGATTTAAGGCACTCTACTTCAGTCTCATAACATTTTTTTATGTTATCCACCTCAATCGAATACAACTTAAGTTCATATAACAATGCTTGCTTTTCTTTACATACATTAACATAATTTTTGGTATTAATCTTATATATTTGAGAATAGATGTAGATGTCTATGGGCAACAGCAACCACTTACCATCAAGTGGACTGTGTGCTCGTTTCTACTACTCGTTTGTCACCCATATCATATATAAAAAAAAACTAATCTCCGAAACCGCTCCAATTTTAATCAATTTTTGTAAATGTGCATAACTTTATGTGTAGGTGTGTGTACGTAGGTTAGCGTGCGGAGGCGGAATGAAACGACTGCTCTGTATTGAGTCATAAGCGCAACTGTTTATTGTAATATGAGCATGTCCCCTGCATGTGTATTTCTTGCTTCAACTAAAAAGATAGGATAGTTCTTATCATGATAAGTAGCGCTCATTATTTTTATTTGCGAACTAGCTGTGCCCGCGGCGTAGCTCGCGTATACAGGTTTTACATAAAGAATTTGTCGTTTAGGTAAGAGAATATTAAACGATTTATTTCATTACTGTATCAATAAGTGGTAACTAAATAAATCATTATCATCAAAGTTCTAAGTCGTTTATGATAGAGCTTCTGTGTA